ATGGACTTAATATTTGCAATTTTGACTACTCCTGAAGTGACTCCATGAATTGTAGTAACTTGTAATTTTGCTGGCACCTGGATTTTATCTTTGGTTTTGAGATTTGCTTGTAATTTTGCTGGCACCTTGATTTGGATCTTTGGTGTTGAGAGGTTGGTATTCTAGGGCTGGTATAGCTTGTAGGTGAGTTGGCCAAGTGCCCAACATCCAAAACACTATGGCCTTCTATATTTGTGGGGGTATATGCAGCAACTCTACTGAAGAGATTACAGTCAACTTTGTGTGAAAAATAGCCCTGAAAAGAAAAACAGTCGCTGGGGCCAAAGCTGGTGGTGAAGGAGTGCTAGTTCTTAGCCAGAAAGTGGCTTTGTAAGTGACTTCAGTCTTGTATTTATAGAATTGTTAATGGTCTGCAAAGTGTTAAAAGTTTTTAAGTTATATTTTACTGCATTTTATGAGGGAAGTTATATGCTAGAGTGATATTTGAAGATGTGAGGAGTCAAAGAGTTCTCAGGGCCTGTCCCTTGTGAATGGTGGCAGTGTGCTGTCATGCCATTGTGGTGTCCATTAGCTGCAATAGCATGTCACTCTCAATGGACGATTTTATAAGAAATATTACAGGAACTGTTCTATGTGTTATCTCTCAGACTACTCTGGAGACTGAGTGTTACTTATTTGGTTACAAGGACAACGGAATCATTATTAAAATTCCACTGAAATAATTAAAATGCATGCCCTCTACAAAAACTGCAGGTTATTATTAATTGACATTTCACAGAGATGCCTTTAATTGTTAGCGAATAAGTGTAAATGTATTCTTTAAGTCACTGCAACATTATGTAGCAGTTGGCACATAGTCAGAATTTTCTCTTTCCACCTGACTTATCCTTGAGTGTAATTTATGCTTGGTATTACTTTTTTTAATATTTGAGGATGCATTTGTTGAAAGCTCAATCACTTCATCTTCAAAAAGAATTATTTTTCACCCTAAATAAAGCATCAAGGATTTGGCAACAGCAATAAAATGTCCTCAAAGTATTTGTAGCATATATCAAAGTATAAAAGTAAAGAAGTAGTAATTACCCAAATTTTTCTATAAGCAAAAACACAAGTAGTTCTTCAAAGAACTGATTTTTTTCAAAAGGATACTTTTATTGATAGCTACTATTTGTTATCACTTTTTCAAAGTAATGTCTTCACAACAAAAGATTGTTTTTAATTTTACCTTATAGAATTTTTTTATCAAAATAATTTTTTAATAATTTACTTTTTACAATACCTTGTTCTTTTTATTAGATGTTTTCTTTGCAGGCCTCAAAACACAAACTCTTCTTTTCAGACAAATGTTAAATATGTACAATATTAAAAATATCTAAAACTACTGATTTTTATGCAAAATCTCTGCATTTAAATTTATTTCTCTCATTTATAAAGTTAACAGATCCTATAACATACAACGTCTTTCTACAAAGGGGATGAAACTAAAAATAGAGTAACTTTATTTATTTTTTTTTCCTTTTTGTCTTTTTTCGTGACTGGCAACGGGATCGCAACCCTCGGTGTTGCCCCCGCACCTCGCCCAGCCAGTGAGCGGGAACTAGTCTGTATGTGGGATCCGAACCCTCGGCGGGAGCGCTGCCACGCTTCCCAAGTGGCGCAGTGTAGCAGTGCGCCACCGGGCCGGCCCTAAAAATAGCGTAACTTTAAAGGACAAGGAAAATATACTACTAATAATGTAATAGGAAAGACTTCAATTTAGATCAAGCTTTCTGACAGTCAAAGCAAAAGATAAACATAACGTTACTTGTATTATTTGATATAAAGAAATATACCAATTTTTTTTTTGGTTAATATCATTTTCAATAAGAACAAGCTTTTCCAGGCACTAAAACCTAT